GAGAGAGAGAGAGAGAGAGAGAGAGAGAGAGAGAGAGCCTCACAAAAAATCTCAAAATGTTTCTTAGTTTCAGATACACTGACTGGGAGGGACTCCATCTTCCATGAGAGTTATGCTGTAGCCAGGGAAACTGAGGTTCTGTGATGTTAAACAAAACCAAATAATCAGTAATGTAGTTAGGAAGGAGAATTTAGTTCTTGTTAACTTCATCATAGCAATTTCAAAAGTTGTTCTATTGGGTCATTTCTTCGGGTTAAAATAACTCAATCAATCCCATGCTTTCCAAAAAGTAAATAAAACTCTTACAGTTAATTGCATCAAGTTTCCTGTGACCTATCAGAAAGCAATTATATTGGACACCCTAATGCATTTTGAAACAGGACCTGAGATTTTGGGTTTTTTAGTGTGTGATGCAAATGTGGTGCAAGAACTTCTACTTTGCAGTGGCTAAACTTTTCCCAGAAAACAGGAACCTAAATGATACAGTATTTAACAAAAGAGGAAGTTTATGGAGCCCCTGTGTTACTGCAGGAGTTGTCATATACCAACCAAGTTAGTTTTAGGGAAAATATTTAATGTATCTGAGGCTGGGATTGATCATTTATAAAATAGGTACACAACTATTCCCTTAGCCAAATGCTGACTGTGAGGATTCAAATGAATTTTGATTGAGAGGCCTATTTGGAGGCTCTAAGGTCTTACTACATAATTCAGGCTGTTTTAAATTATGAAACTTCCAGTAACTGTGAGCTAAATAAACTTTTCCTTCTTCCATTTTGAGTGGTGGGTGTTTGTCCCAGCAACAAGAGAAGAGTACCTAAGACACAAACGAATTTAGACGGAGAGGCCTAGTACATAGCAAGCACTTTTCAAGAAGCTTTTGCCCTTGCTTTTTTTGTGCTTCCTCTCTGCTGGGTAGAAAGTCAGCCTGATGTATAAAGTGTGGATTGGACCTAATCAATTCTTACACAGAATTTGAAGAAAAGTTTCATCTTACTCAATAGTCATCCTAGCCACGGACTCAAGAGAGTTATAACCAGCTGCTGTGAAGTTGTCTTTATATCTCTCCATCTTAATAGCTTGGAGCCATTCTCCAACTGAACAAAAGGCAGTGAAGTCAGGAGTATTTTGATCCAGAAGAGGGCTTATTGGCCTAGACAACAATGAAACAGATGAAATAAATATCTCATCAACTACCAGAAACACAAACAAATACTCCAGTGTCTTAGCCACACAAGAATAGCAGTATACAGAATAAAGTTCAATATTTTAATGCATGATGTGTTAAAATGAACAGACATGATAATAACAGCCTAGAGCATGCATGTTTACCCAGGAAGTACAAATTCCTGAATTTAAATTTAATTTAGATGTGATGTCCACAAGGTCCTGTCTTGCATATGTTAATAAAAGTACAGCTAATAGTATCCAAACTGGTCAATATTTGTTCATTTGCTTCTTCCAAAGTACTTGCGTGGGGGTGAAGGAAGTATAGCTGGGACTGATTTCCTCAGGCCATGAAAGTGCTATTCAGAACCCCTTGTGTCCGCTGTACTTATAGCACCTTGTGAGCACCACGGAAGTTGGCGCCTCTCCACAGGGCCCTGACCCAGGACTGCCAGTGCGTGTCAGAGGAGCAACTGAATCGCTGCTAAGATGCACCACATGGATAAAGCCAAAAGAAAAGGAAGGGACTTTTTCACAATGCATATACCTCTTATATCATGTGTCAAGCTACTTTGCAAACTTTAACTTCACAGAATCATTTTATGAAATAATTGAAAGCAAACCATTAAAGTTACCAATATACATATAATGAAACATAGGTCAACAATAATAAAAACCCGTATAGTACTCTACTGCAAATATAAAAATGCTACCTTTTCACAAAATTTAGTTGATAAAGTGTTTTGAAAAGAACAGTGAGTTGTACAATTTTTAAGACAAAACAACAGTAATAAATGAATTCTCTTTAAACAGTAATTTAGATAAGCCATCTGTACAGGAAAATGGCCATAAATACACATAGTGTCGATTACTATATTGACACGGCAATCAATTTGTTATTGAGATGGAGTTAATGAGATAAAAGGTTTACCAGAATATTTTAATGTTTCCATATTCTCTCTCCTCAAGTATTTCTTACCTACTACAGGTTCCCAGGGGTGTTTTCAGACTATTTGGATTTCGAATCATTTTGTCTAGAATTCCAACTATCTGCTCAAACTTTGGCCTCTCAGCACGGTCCTTCTGCCAGCAGTCCAGCATTAGCTGGTGGAGACCAGCCGGGCAGTCCATGGGTGCTGGTAAGCGATAGCCTTCTTCTATTGCTTTTATAACCTAATGGCCAAGAAGACATTAAAATATTACTGAGTTTCAATTACAATGAAATGAACTTCTTGGTAAGCAATATGATTTATCTAGATAAGGCTGAGACACATTGCTTTGCAAATAGACTTGTTTTTTTCCCCCAAAACATTCATAAATATTAAGCATGTTATTAAGGGGTTCACAAAGTGCAGGATATGATGACATTTTCTAGTTAATTCAGCAATAGGAAGCAGCAATTAAGTTCACCAAGGTGCAAGAGAAGGAAACATATTTAATGTCATCCCAGAGGTTTTCAAAGGGGAACGTGTTATGGAACTATTTTGCTTGTATAAATTGTGAGCACACCATACTTGGTTATAAATTAGAATAAAAATCTGCAAGTGGAAAAGGAAATTAAGTTACTCAGGGTTAAAATAATAATTCACTTTACATGAGTGTGAATGACACTTGTTTTTTTTTAATTTTTTTTTTTTTTATTTATGTGTGTGTGTGTGTGTGTGTGGCCAGCTCAGCCCACCAGGGGGCGGGGCTGGCTGGCATGTGGTGCTGGGGGATTGAACCGCGGTCCCTGTGCTTTGCTGAGCTTGTTCTAAGTAGGTGCTTTAGACCCCTGAGCCATCTCACCAGCCCCGTGAATGACACTTGTAAACAGACATCAAAATATGTGAATGTACAGTGATGGAAAATGTTACTAACCACACTGTTCTGCTAAAAAATGTGACGCTTAGTGTTGCAACTGGTGTATGGAACCAGTTTGCGTGGATCACAGGAAGGAATCCCATTCCTTTCTGCTCAGGTCAGGGTCTTCACACTGGCAGATAGAAATCAACAGAGAGGAGAGTGGAGAAAGCTCCAAGGAAGGGCTTTCTCACCAAGACCTGGTTTGAAAACTTTGATCAGCATGCCTCTATGTATATGTGATAAGAGCTTGAGATTCAATAACTTCAAATGCTAATTGAAAATAGGTCTTCATGAACATTATTTCCACATGGCAATCAGAATGTCTAATTTACTTATTCAAATGTTTTATCTACATGGAAAACAGAAGACCTAAAAAATGGTAAAGAGGTGAGTAATAGAGAAGACCATGTGAAGATAAAAAAACATAGATACGGAGGACTTTATTCCAAGGAGGAATAACAGTCCACTGACACGTGTAATAGCAGTAAAAATGGAAGAAAAATGACTTTTAAAAAATCCAAACAACTAAATTTGGTTTTTGAGGACAATAAAGCCATAAGCAGGCAGACCAAAGGTGGCTTTAATAAATGTTAATGACCTTATATCTTTAGGGAAACATGCCCATGATTTATATTGACATTTAAGAACAGTAAAATAAAATGCAAAGCAGTATAGGATATCATTAATAACATAACTGCCATTATAATTTTGGGGGAAATTCTTTTGAATATGTGAAAAATTTAAAAGTCTATGTTAAAATTTAATTTATGAAAAATCTGTATGTTAAATTGGCCTACTATAAAAGTTGTATAGATAAACTTCATTATAGTAAACTTGAAAGGTGCTGCAAATATAAATCTTGACTCTAAGTCTCTTCTTGTCACAAGGTTACAGATTTCCATTAGTCTAATGTCCCACCTAAAGTCTTCATAGGCATCTCTCAGTCTAATTGGAAACTTGAGCTTATTTTTCTTCTGAGTTTTTTTCTATTGCAGTTAGTGACAGTGCCAGCCATTGTAGTCACTGCAGTCAAAAAGCTGAGAAATGTCACATCTTCTTTTCCCCTGTGCATAATCACTTAGTTATCATTTTCTGATGATTCTACACTTTAAATACACTACATGTTAAGTACTACAAAAGGATTTGTCGCTCCCTGAAGAACTGTCCCATAGGTAGGTCTTTGGAAAGTCACATAGTAGGGACTACTTTCTTAAGGACTTTCTTTTGCACAAAAATTACTGAGGAAAACACCTTAGTTTGAAGTGACCGTAAATAACCAGTGATGACAATAAATGTTGACAGAAGTCATTTGTTAGAATTTTAAAGTTTTTGACATTATAAGTACATGTAGTGGATCCCTGTAAACAGTTATCTAAAATATCCATCTTTATTTTTTTCTTTTGTAACTGGGGATTGAGCTCAGGCCCTCGCACTTGCCGGGCAAGCACTTATTCTACTGAGCTATCTCCCCAGGTCCTTAAAATATCCGTCTTTAAAGCTATTTGTGCTATAAGCAAACATACACAAATGGCAACTCCACAAAGATCACAAACATGTAAGGAGAGGAGGAATTATCCACTAAAAAAAAAAAAAGAATTTTTAAATGCAAAGAACTCATATGGCACTTTATGTGATTTCCAGTAGTAATAGTGCTTCAGGACTCAAAGGTGTTAAATAATTTAGTTAAATTAATGTAATATACTTTTGGTAATCTTGGATAAATGGCTTAAGCAATGATTTAATTTATAAATAAAGAAACAAAACTTTATGTTCTTAAAATAACCACATCAGAAACAATTGCAGAGGCATTTTTTTCATTGGATAAGAAATGGCTTTTCTTTACTTGAGGTTGCTTGTATTTGAACAGAAGCCATATCCTTCTGATCTGACAGAACTGCACTCTAATGCTCATAAATTAGTTCAGCGCTCAATTTTCCATCAGCTCCTAATCTATTTCTCTGCTTACAGCTTCTTCGGGTGTTCTCGAGGGACAATGCAGATAGAATTTCTTCCCTTCACATGACCCTTTAGAATGTAAATCTAAATCTGTCTGTGATATTTTGGACTTGCTTTCCTGCAGCAGGGGCATCACGCTTACATCACAGCATTTAGCATTCTGGAGCTGTGAACACAACGTATTCTTAAGTCTGTGTCAATGAACAGAGCCTTGTGCCATCTAATGACTCTTACAGGAATGAAAGAGTTAAAGGCCCTCTCCAGGTAATAATTTCAACATAGAAATCTGATGAAGCATATTGTTATAGTGGTGGAACAATGTTGACCTCAACAAAAAGACAATTTCTACCTAGGTTTAAAGACATATGGATAGTAAGTTTTCAAAAATTGTAAAGGAGCAGCAGCACAGCATAAAACATCAAGCAGTATTTTGATAAGAGAATAGTGTTTGGGATTTTAAAGTTCCCATTTATAATCATATCCCAAACCAAAGTAGTGCTAAATATACTTTTGGGAACTCCTCTGCATATTTTAGGATAGTCTGGAATAACCTAAAGTATTCCCTTTGAGGATAAGCCAGTCAGTAGGAAATTATACTGTCACAAACTGACTCTCAAGGTTCTGTAATTCTTTTGTGATTAAATTACCAGAAAACTTCTTGTTGCGTACACAGCTAATGATCTTAGAAAAAGTGTACTGAGTAGTTGCTCTATGACTAGTTCTTAAATAGAAATTATTTCACTAAATTTTTATAAAAGCCTTGATAGGTAGATATTATTATACTGACTCTGGAGAACATAATCTTTAGCACATACAAATAAAAGATAGGACTAATATTACATAGTTGCCAGCAAAAGAGACAGAACTGGATGTAGGGTAACTCATCAGAGATTCCATGGTTATCAGTGGCTTTACAGTTTCAAATAGGACAATAAGGGATATTTTCTGAAAATGGTTATGCATTCTTGGAAACAACAAAGCACACAGGTGAAATGACTGAATTTCTACTTCTTCAAGGATTGTGTGATTATTTACTAAATTCATTTAAAATTTGTAAGACTACCAGAAACCCCTGGGAGTTGTCTGCACTGATGTACTCTTACTGCTAATGAAAATCAGGGAGAAATACTGAAAGAAATTCTACAACTAGACATTCCCAGAAGAACAAGAAGCAAGGAAGGCAAGTGACATTTTCTAAAAAGACTTCTGGGGCAAAGTAGAGATCATTTCTTTGTCATATACTGTCAAGAAATATAAAGAAATAAAACCAAAGTTACTTGTTCAGAAATGTTTCTTGTTGTTATACTATGATGATGATAATTGAATAAAAAAGAACAGAAAGACATCACCACATGTGGCTTGTAATAACTCAAAATGGAATATAACAAGATAAGTGTCTGTCTCCTGTTTAAGGCTCATTTTCATTTCATTAACCTCATGATAACATGACCTACATTTTTACAATTAAATATGTTGGACTGTACTTAGTGGATTATGTCAAGGTTTTAACAAAATACCTTGAAGTCTTATGTCTATTTTAATATGAAAAAATACAAAGCCATAAATCAGTGGTGATTTGTATATAAAAAATGAAGTACTTATGATCTAATTATGAATAAATTTAGTTATAAGTATATTTTTAAAACTATTTAAGAGTAAATGCATGATTTTAAGAAATTATCTATATGTCAAATATCTTGAGGGAACCTTAAGTTTTTTTTATTATCCTTATGACAAACTACTAATAAATTAATGATTTATTGATCTACCCTAAATAAGAAAAAAAATTTTGTTGAGTACAATCAGAATAAAGCCTATACAATAATTTCAAACTTCTACAACTTGAATGCAAAAAGAATCATTTTTAGACTAATCAAGATATAAGTTCAGTTGAAAGACAGCTGTGTGAAAGCCCAAAGAGGATTTTCAGATTTTTGCTGTATTTATTACGTCTGACCACATTTGCATACATAAAGATTTTTCTTTGAAAGGGCATTAATGGAAAGAGCTAAAATCTGCAGATTTTTCTAAAGATGTTAAATTGAAACTTTATTTAGAAAGCTTATCTCTTGATTTTATCAGCAAATGTCTCCATTTAACTGTGGCACTGCAGTTAAAACTAAAGTTGTACGCATGTGCAAAAAGAAGGAAGTGCACACTCAAGTTGACTGGAGGCAAATTAGTTAGGTGTGGTCTGGTCACTTCGCTGCCTACTGCTTTTCCCTAAATTTCTCTTGTTCTCTACTTGAACCAAGTGAAACCAAGCATACCAATGACGAACTGACACATTGCTTTGTCCATTAAACTTTTCTCCTTCTTTACTGTGACTACAGAAACCTTGTCTCATTGATCACTCAGCCTAGGGTTCTGCGGACTCACCTAGAATGACAACCATCACTTCCTCATGGTGTCTTATGAAAAGGTATGCAATCCAAGGCATTTTAAATTTGAGGGCTTTTAAAAATAAAGAAAAAAAAAAAAAAAAAAAAAGGCTTTCTAAAAACCTTGACAAATATCTAGTTTCTAAATTTAGACAGTGCAAAAGTAAATTGGTATATTTAATAAAGCCATATAGACTAATTTAAATATGTATATCTATAACCATATCTACAGGTAATTTTGATTGAGGTTAACCTATCCAGAAAAACACAATACATACCTCTACACTGGTATATATCCTACATATATTGAGGTGTTCAGAGAAATCTTCAGCCTCCCTTTGAGGTCTTCACATAGACTCCATATGAAAACACCTTTTCTCCAAAAGTCCTAGCTCACAGTTACTTTAAATTATCCAGTTTCTCTCCATTTGCATATTGAACATTATGCATATAATTGCTCAAGTAGTATTTTAACAGTATAACTATCAAATGAAGAACATTATACAATAAGAACAGTAATATCCATTTCAAAATTAAACCTGATACATAGATAATTTATTACTATTGTACAAATTTGTATCTGAGTTTAACTCAGAACTTAAAAATGAAAAAAAGATAAAAGAAAGGAATATGTCAAAGGAGGATGGTGCCTTATATTCAGGTCAGAGCTAAACTCTACATGTATAATTTCATGTAATCACTTAAAGGATTTATTCATCCTTAGTATGATGGGTCTATACTTATGGCAGTCATTTTTAAGATGGAGAAATAATGTTTAGTATTAAAATTAGAGATTTTTTTCTTCTTAATAATTTTCATTATTGTTTTTGGAACTTAAGTGAACTTTAAATTTAAATCATCTTATATTCCTGTCAGCTCTTTTATGTTTGAATCTGGTATAAAAGAAGGTGTCAAAAGAACCGAAACTCCATGAAGTGTCTGGGGAATGTAAATATTTCTCTTTCTCTGCCCCAAGGATTTGTTTGCCCATATCTTGACAGTCCATGAAATCTCTGACACTGAGGCCTGTCAAATACTAACAACTTTGCCTTTGCCAAAAGGACCCATCATCTAGACTTTCACTCTGAATCACAAAAATAAAACAACAACAACAACAAAAATGAATAAAAAGTTTCATGTAATCACTCAACTGAAAATACCAAAATAATGAACTCATTAAAATCTTCTCCATCTCATGAAGAACTTTTCAGTTAATTTGGAAATCTGGAGGTAGGTGCACCAAAGTCATTTTCCTAACAGCACAGCAGCAACAACTTTACTTTCGTTGTCCAAAATAAGTTTTAGGAGACTTAGGAATTTGATATAGATGGTTTTGAAGTTATCAACAAGGATGATGGTTAAATATAACATTTTTATAAACTCTTTTGGAAAAGTAGTTCAGTTATAACTACAGTGTACTAAAAACTGCTGTCCATGTGCATGTAATAATTCAAGAGTCAGCAGCTCTAAATGAGTTTGCTGGTCACGTTTGTTTTCTAAATGACAATGCAAACTCTTCTTAAGCACTGGTATGTTTTTCTTCCTTTTCTATTAGCTTTCCTTTGTAATGAGTTCCTCATGCCTTCAAAGAAGCCTTCTGCCCATTTTCCCTGACATAATATGCTTTGCAAAGCCAGTCATGAACTACAATCTCTGTTACAGCAAACAAAGTCCCTTTGGTTAGACTCTATGTATCTTTTGTTTCTTCACTCTACCAAGATGCTCCTTTGGAGAATTTTCGCATCATGTGGAAACAAGATCTTCACCACATTCCATTTGGTTCCATCTAAAGAACATTCTTAGATTTTGTACTTTCTCTGCATTTATTTAAATTTCACTTACATTTTGAGTAAGTTGAACTACAAGAACCTGTCAATAATTTGAACGTTCTCAATGGGCAGAAATGGGATTTTATGAAGTTCAACATAATTAAAGCAAATATTAATTTGTGCTTAAGTGTCATCACTTATTATTAGTGTCTTGGTATGAAATATGTGCTCCTATGGATTGTTATCAGCTTCTTTTCTCAAAGGACTGCAGCATGTTTTATGTCTTAATATGTCCTCATAATAACAGGGTATCTATATTTAATAAGATATATATATATATATATATGAAATCTTCATATATATAAATATATGGATATTCTCACTGTGATTGCATTGAAAATTGCTGTTATGAAATACAAATATTTATTATAAAATGCAGATTGCATCATGAAATTAAAATTTGACACCTTCAGTAACAGACCAGTTAAACAGACTTATTTCAGAACATTAAAAGAAAAGAAATTTAAGCTTCAAAGAAGAAGAAAAAGATGAAACCTAATTCTCTTTTGCATCCTTTCTACAAAGCATTCACTTAATCCTGGCACTGTTTTACCACAACAGGGCAAACACAGCACCAGTATCTATATTAAAGAGGAAATATCCTTTGTAATCTTCTACTGTGCCAACAGAAATTAAAGGAAAAGAGAAAGTAACCATTCAGGACGAGAACCAAAATAAAATTAATAGAAGGGTTAACTTATAATTAATTGTGATAATTTGCAGTAATAAGTGTGACTAAGAAAATACAATTTCATAATTCTAAAAATTTCTTAATGAGATATTATCTATATGATCCAACAGTAAAGGATATTAATACATTAAATCCTTTTGCTTAAATAGCATAACACCTACATCTTGATTTGACATGTCCCAGTAAGGCCTCTCTCCATAGGACATAACTTCCCACATGACTATTCCATAGCTCCATACATCACTGGCTGAGGTGAATTTCCGATATTGGATAGCTTCAGGTGCTGTCCACCTTACTGGAATTTTTCCACCCTATTATAAAAAGAAGTTGACACTTTAAATATATAGATATGATAGCTTATAAATCATTTAGGTCTATGGTTAAATATTTGTATATTTGTTGGCAGTTCACAGCAGAGTGTCTATCAGTTTTGAATTCTTATAAGTATACTTAAAGTTACTAATCTTCTTAGAAGCCTCTCGCTACAAGTTTTCATTTTAAGGCAACTGTACGTAATGTGTGTATGTGGTGTCAGGGCATGAGTCTAAGAAAAGATGGAGACAAAAAAATTTACTAATAAACTGAAGTGAAATATGAAATATTAAAAAACTGTCATATATTTTTTCCTAATATTCCAGAACTAGGGGAGTTAGCATAGGAAATACATTGTAGAATTTTCATTGAAAATCTGTGTATCTTGAGCTACTGATCAGGTGGTGTGTAAACTGTACCATGTCTATAGCAACTCCCCAAGAAGAGATAACGCAATCACTCTTAGTCTTTCCTTGCTTCACTTACATGTAGACTGCAATACAGCAGTAACTTTACACACACACACACACACACACACACACACACACACACACACACACACAGAGCTACCACAGAAAGCAGGATCAATTTGCCTCTGTTGAGCAAAAGTGCTGTAAGTGCTTAATTCTGTATAAGTCCTGGCTTCATGGTAGGAAAATCTTAAGATTGTGAAGAAGCATAGCAATAGTCTTTCTTACAGTAGTTGTATAGACAGCTTCCGGATCATCCTCTATAACCCGGGACAGGCCAAAGTCTGACACTTTACAAACAAGGTTGCTGTTGACAAGAATATTGCGGGCCGCGAGGTCCCTGTGAACATATCCCATATCGGCTAAGTATCTCATCCCAGCCGCAATTCCTCTCAGCATTCCGACTAGCTGAATGACTGTAAATTGCCCGTCGTGTTTCTGCAGGAAGACAAAATAAAGGCTCAGACAACTGTCCTTCAAAGGAGACAAAAATCACCATAAAAGCCATCTGCACACGTGTTCCTTATGATTGCAGCAGTAAGTGCTGATGTTCTATGGACCCTTGTGAAAAAAATATAACACGTGATGATTTAACTGGCAGACAGATAATATAAGGCCGAGTCATGGCATTTATTTATTATTTGTCATTTTTTAATTTTAGTATTAACTAGTGGTGGTTTGAGGCAACATGTGTTTAAAAGTGTATCTTGAGTTTTAAGTCAAAGTTAGGAAGAAGAATATCAAAAAATAGTACTTCTGAGAGGTAAGTGTTTCCTAACGCCACAAAAATTATATAAATAATCTAACAATATTTAAAAAGATGATATACATATATTATGATTTTTTCCAAATAGAAATAAGAAAATGGACAAATATTTGACTGAAAATGAAGAAAAACTACAAAGCAGAAAATGGTTATAGTGTCTGATGTTGCTTTTATCGTATTCCTCTGTTCTTGTGATGGCTGGAAACCTTGGCACATGGAGAAATGTTTGTAGTCACACAGAGAGTGACATCGTATACTTCTGACCTATCTTTAAGCCACAGATTTCCACAGCTGTACACAAACGTGCGGAGCTCAGGGCGTCGGCCGAAGTTGATGAACTTCCTACATTAGGGTCCAGAGAGCTGATGATAGATGTATGATCATGATGTCACTCTCTGAATTAAACTTTCTCTAAATCCTGGTTGCTTATGAATCGATGTTGAATACCTCACACTAGACCACCCAAGATGACCTTCTTACCATTTGGAAAATGTTAACATGTTTGTCCTCTTAAGTGAACAGTCTCTATGTGCATTAGTACTGGGTTTATATTTATGCCATCACCTTAATATTTATCCCTCACAAAAAGTCATATACCATTAATTAAAAATAATACTAATAATACTAATAACTGTATATTTCATAATTTCCCCAAATACAATAGAAATGGTTCACAGAACACAGGATCATCACCCAATGTTAACTGGTTATTTTACTTGTGAGTTTTCTATTTATCTCTGTATTTCATTTATAATTGTGTGTGCTGTTCCTTAATATGGACTTAAATTATAAGGCATTGTGGTATCCTCCTGCCTTCAGATATTGACATTAATGGAAACTACTTTTTAAATTATACAGTATGCTTAAAATGTACAAAAGATTCTAGTTTCATTTAGTCTAGACCTCTGATAAATAACGTGATTTTTAGAGATAGTTTTGTAATGTTCATATTTTACCTGCTAAAACGAATGTAAAATTATATTGCTAGCAGGTACAGCTTCTTCTGAATGAGTCAGGGGAGAAATCGAGTACTTACCCTGAGAAAGGCATCTAGGGCTCCATTTTCCATGAATTCTATTACAATCATGACTGGTTTTCCTAAAATTAAAAAACAAACCACAACAAAACAAAACAAACACATTATTTTAGAAGCCTGAGCTATATCTTTGGGAGGCTAGATGATAAGATAGGAGTATTTCTAATTTTTCTAGTGCTGTTGTTCAGCTCCAGAAAGTCATTAAATGCTAGCTTAAGATATGGTTCATACAACTCAAGTTAAGCTGTACAAAGAAAAGTAGGCATGTTCTCTGGCTCCCGTCTTGTGAACCAAACACAAAGAAGCTCACACTTTCATAAAATTACTTTTATGGTTTTTGGAAGCTAAATAAAAACACCTATCAGTCTTTTCACGTATCTGATTTAGTTTTCAACTATTATCCTATTTACACTTCCCCCAATTTCTTTTCTGAAGTGGCAGCATACACTAATTAATCACATACAAAAAAGTGTATTCAGAATATATAATATGTGCTTACTTTAATTTTATTATGTACATAGTAATATGAATGTCAGACAAGCAGTAAATTCAATAAATGGTGCAGACAGCCCAGGTCTACCTCTTGTAACGACCCCTTCCAAATGGACAACGTTTGGATGGTCAAACTGCCCCATGATGCTGGCTTCACACAGAAAGTCTCTTCTCTGTTTTTCAGTGTAGCCAACTTTCAGTGTTTTTATAGCCACTGCTACATCTCTTTTCCCTGGAAGCTTCAAGCGACCACTGCACACTTCTCCAAATTCTCCTGAAATAACAGAGCCAACAGGTGCATTTCAATTTCTGAACTATGTCTTCTTTAAATCATATTTTTATTAAGAAAGCATTTTCTCCCCATTAAAATGAATGCATTCCTACACATGACTCATTCGTCCGCCGTACGAAAAGAATGACAACATTAAATTAAAACTTGAAGGCACATTTCAGCACTTCAGAGACATTAAGCTTTGGGTGAAGTAGGCTACTACGTCTCAATTCAATCAACAAACGACTTTCAAAAGTTGACATTTAGATTTGAAATACGCCTATGCTGCCTACTAACGTGTATGAGTACACTGACAAATTCTAAATGTTGCCACTGTTTCTAATGTTTAGGAAGTAAATACTTACAAAAGATCTAAAGGTCTGGTATTTGTATGTACTATGTCTGCTGGATTTAAGGGACTTGGATACAGAACTGTATGATTATTATGAAAATATAGAAATTATTTAGTATTTGAATAGTTCAAGCACATTAATTTTTTACATGAATAATTTAAATCATAAAATACCTAACATCTACAAATGTAAGACAAAAGATACAAATGAAACTTTAGCAAAAAGATCGCAAAGCAAATGAGTAGAAATGCATACTTCCACTTAGGAAAATTCTGCTTTTTAAAAACTGCTAAATCATTTCTTGATCAACTAGCCCAAACTAGTATGAAATAGCTCAAAATACACTATCTTAAAAATCCAACACAGAACCAAATATAAACATATCTTTTATGCCAGGTGCTTCTTTCATTCACTTTTTTCCTTAAGATTTCCTAAAAAACTACAGCCTTACTGGTTCTAACAGTATAGGTAAATGCATAAGTTCTATACTTGAGGTATAATTATTTGCCTGTCATGATGATGTATGACTTTCGATCTTGGCTAAATGGAACAGCTGAACAAGGAAGCTACGACAGTCTTACCTGCACCAATCACACGCTCAATTTTAATACAGGAGGCATCTAGCTCCTTGGCGAATTGATGGACAGCTCTATTTGGGTCCTCATAGGTTTCAGGGTCAATGTAGGTTTTGGTGCCTGGAAATTTAACTGTAATGATGTAAGAAAGCATGACTGTGATGAAGCAAAGCACTTATTGTGCAGCCAGCCCAGGAATTTCATTATGCAGAGTGCTTCTTGGAACAGTGAACTTGCTTCCACATCACCTGATTCACAGCAGTTTTAACAGACTACTTCAGTCTGTTGGTGTATAGGTATTATTTGCACATTCTATAGGTAACATAGGATCCAGCTCATGGGTTACTACTGAATTGCTTTTCCGGTAAATTAACAAAAGACATCCACCAGAATTTCTGACATGCCTATCACCCTGGAGGTTTCATTGAATTCACTACTATCACAGCATAGTTCAAGCCATATTGAGGTTTGTAATGGACTTGGAAACACATTTGTAAATCTATCAGTCAGTCAATCAATCAAATTAATACACTGGGAAAAAGAAGACAGTTCATTTACAGGTAGACTACTACACTGACAGCAGTATGAAAAACATTTAGACATCTTCCTTATTTTTTTTTTTTGATTTATTTGTAAAAGACCAACCACTGTTGACATATACATAAAATTAATACAAGTTATGAGGGACCGCTATCGCAGAATCAAAGCAAAATCTTCTAAAGACATAGCTTCATCTTCACCTTGAAGGGCAATAGAGGCCAGATGTACAAAATGCAGAAGAAAGTTAGAAAATGTACAATATTCCTGGGATCTCGTATCCAAGTGTGACAGCAATTTGAAAGAGAAATGGTTTATACGAACTTTTAATTATAAGGCTTTTGGAAGGTCTTAATTGCTCTGAAGAGGTAGCCAGTAAGCCTCACAAAAGGTAGAAAAAATTCAAACAACATAGAATTATCTTAAAAGTTAAAATCTTATTGAAATGCACCCAGAAGCATGCAGGTAACAGTTAATGCTATGCTTTATATGAAATCCAGTTACAATAATGTATTTGAAATAATCATTTGATTAAAGACAAAGATAAGATAGATAGGCATATATTTGGTTATAGGAATGCAATGAAAAAGATTACACTATATCCTTAAAAAAAACTTTATTGTTTTTAACAAAGCCACCAAACAATCTTGTCATTAAATCTTACTATTTAGAGAACAATATATTTCTTTATATATTACACTGCAGCCTAACTGTGCTTATGTCATCACATTAAATTAAAATTATATTTTAAAAATAAACATATGACAAAAAGAAGCATAACGTAGAAAGGAAAATGGGATTTAAAAATCTTGATTTATTCTGCTGTAGTTGATTGTTTATCCAAAATTGATTGTCTTAAACAATTATTGTTGCAGTTTATAAAACTGACAGATGCTCATTTGTTACTAAAGCTGAACATGAAAAAAAAAACACAAGAAGAAAAGAGAGAGGGGATAGAAAGAGAAAAGAGAGAAGAAGGAATACAGGGGAGACGGGGGAAAGAGAAAAAGAGAGAAGGGAAGAAAACAATAGGTTAACCTCCTAGATTGGCAGGCAGATGGAGAAAGAGCCATCTTCTCCCTCTTTATTCTCTTTCTTTTTTCCACTGTTTTAATTCCTTTTTGTTTTGGTAAATCAGTTAGGTTGGACAGACATAGCCCTCTGCAACTCAAATGGCTCTCTGATGGTTCTTTATTCAAGCTGTCATAAGACATTTTGACAGGCTAGACCTATTTTGGTATAAAAACATGAAATACTGCCCAGCTTGGATTCTAAGACACTGCTAAAAGAAATCGTAGGAGGAAACAAAATGTAAATTGGAACTGCTTCACTAAACTCCTCCATCGTGTTTATACCTAGAAATGGAGCTGTTGGGGCCACCCGGAGGTGAGGGCACCTGATACAAATGACTGGACATTCTATTAAATTCAATGCTCTAAAAGCCAGTTAAATGGTTGCTTTCAAGTTTCTGGAAAATTCAATCTGATGTCTTAGCACCTAGGAAAATTGTCTGTGTGCTAAGGGAATAGAAGGACACTGACTTGTAAATGCTGCTGTATTTTAGGCATTTTAGATACAGTCATAAAGTAAAATAAAGTGCTTAGTTCTCACCAAATGACAAGAAAAGGTATCCATGTAAAACGCATGAATCAAAAATACCAAGAATATACTGGGACAGGAAATGTTACATGTGCTTTGTTTTTACTATTCATTTAAAGATGTTTCAAAGTAAAGAAAATATTGACATCATGTGTGAATGTTCTGCTCTGTTGCTTAGCCAAATTTAAGAGTGAGCTTTCTCGGGTGTGCTTTAATACTTCATTTACACCTCTCACAAATGTTAGATATTTTAAAACCACCATAGACATTTTGCCACAAGGATGAAAGCTGTTGATATCCAGCAAGCGAATCTTATCTATGGTACCAAGACTTGTAGTTATATATATTTTTTCCAATTATAAAGTAAATGTGAAATGTGAAAAACCTGAATGGCATCAAAATATTAAAATTGAATGGTGACAACTAAATATAAGGTTATACGCAAGTTTTTGATTAGTCATGTTTCAATTTAACATCTTCATTAACCTACCAATTAAAAGTAAATGAACTAAAACATGCTTCATAAGTTTGAGAACAGTCAGGCATATGCAACGAAGAAAAGTGACATGCTGATTATGGTAATCTTAAATAACTGTGCCATTAAATTATTCCCATATAAATAGGATCGGGCATTTCATGAAATATGATTTTATGTTACTCTTAACTTTTAGAGTAGAAATAAAAATTTAGACATCAAAGTTTTGATCTTTCCTTTTGAGTAAATGTTAAAAATATTCTCAGATAGAAAAGCAAACTCATCAATTTTTCTGTATACGTTTTAGCCACGAAGTGGCTAAAGGATTCTTGTCACAGGAAAATCTCTACTAAATTAGCAAAAGGAGGCTGCCGTTGTGGGGGCATAACAAAGAGCTTCAGTAGTGGGGTAGCAGGGTTACATCTGCATTAAGGGGTGTACTCAAGTTTATGAGTCTTGAACCTTATATGCTTCGGGACAAACTCTTTAAGAAAAATATTATTATTGTATATATACAGCTGCTACGGCCTCAAAAGGCCTGAAAAGGCATCTGTAAAACCACCTTGGTTTTACTTTAGTATTTTTCAGCACCCACATTCCCCTGCATGTGACCCAGTGCTACAGTTTCAAATTCACCTGGGATCTGTACGATGCACAACCATCTCTCTTTAAAAATCCAAAGTGAAAGTCACTGTTGCTTCAGTAAATAAAAATCCTATCAAATAGTTTAGAATGATAATATCTACAACTCATATATTTGTGCTACATGTTCATTTGAACTTAACAAAAAGAAGAATTGTGAGGCTATTAAGTAATGATTAAAAATTCTTTAATCATGTGAAAATATTCTTACGACTTTTGGATGGGTCTATGACCAGGTTCTCTTAGATGCTGACATAAGAAGATGATCAATCAATGATACAATTCTTATGCCACTAACAGAAAGTTTATCCACACCAGGAGAAAGTAAAAGTAAAGCCTTACTTAGTATAGACACTAAGAAAAATAATAAATAAATTTGACTTTTGATATTTTAAAGTGTTATAATAAAAACAATGGGTTCAGGTAAGAATGACAACTATCAGAGTTGAGATCAGTTGATCATTCAGGTTTTACTTGGCTTAGACAAAGCTCAACCTTGAGCTTGCCAGTGGAGCGCTTGTCACTGAGCTATCTCCTGGGCCCGCCAATAGAACTTTGAAGAACCAAGTAACTCAACTCATACAGAACCACGATGGGCCGAATAATATTATACTGTTCGTGTTTTGTGAAATATCTAGGTGAATAAAAATATTTTAATGTAAGAAGACTGGTGTTAGATTTTCATCAGACTGCCACACATTGGGCAGGGGGAAAAGGGTTCAATTTTTCTAATTTGAAAAAATATCCCTTAGTTAAAAAATGGGCACAAGGAGCATTTAGTGGAGTGTTATTACAATCATTAAAAGAATTGAGGATAGTCTACAAATGGAAAAATTGTGACAAAAAGTAGCTGAATATCCTGCAATTATATTACATTTCTGAACTTATTTTGTGAATTCACAATGTAATTGTCATTCTAAATATCTTATTCACATGTTTTAAAGATAATATTTTGCACTCATTGCATACTTTCAAGTATGATGCATTAGGAATGTGCTCATACCAATACTAAGAATCAAAGTTTTTTATTAATTGGGGTATTATAATAATAATAGAGAAAAACCAAACACTTACAATGAAAGTAAAGTTCTTCGTCCCCTTCTTGATCAGCTTTGCTATAACCACAGTGCCTGGAAGGAAGCAAATGTGGGATAGTCTCAACCCACTATCTTAATGTATATATTTAAATTATAAATTAGTATTCTATATCTTGTGACATGTCTTCTTATTTAACAACATGCTAGAGTCATAAATTAAATATAAAGCTTTTATTCCAACATCATGAACCCATGTATCAGTAATATAGGAATTCCTATGATTTCAAAAATGTAGAGGAAATAGAATAAATGTCTCAGTGTATGTGTGTATAGGTGGGACAGTAGAGTCATCAGTGAGTAGGAAGGATTTTATTTACAGAATTATAATGTAACAACTAAAAGAGCAAAGCCCTCCTTGGGGATCATCTATATCTACATTGGCTATGAAAATGCAACTCTGAGAAATAACTGCTAATTATGTACCAATAGATATTACAATACACATTCTCCTTAAACTGAAGAGAGTAAGCAGACCTGTACTGTATTTTGATATTGGAAAAACAAACCTTTATTGACCCTCAAAGTTACACATCAGGCAAGAGATGTTTGTATTTACTATTTAGAATTCTAAAAAAATTAGCCAATTAGAGGTTGGCGTAACTTCGAAAAATTAATGTATCCCATTTTGGATATTAGTACAACTCTATACTCTACCTTCTTCCAATAATGAAGCCGAAGACCATGAACACCAAAATGATGGTCCCTGCCACAGCCACCACTGCGATAATAATCACGGGATTCTGCTCACTGGAGACAGCTGTAGCTGGAAAAAGAACAAACGGGTTCAGAAACAACGTGGCCCAAGAACATGAGAGGTTAAATACATTGGTGTCCAGTTTATTTATTTCACTTCTACTTTTCTCAAGTCTAATGTATATTTAAATAAACATTGACTTTTGCATTTTAACGACATTTCTGCAAATACTTCAAACATATTTTTATTGTTATCTAATTATAGGCACTTCCTGTACAATACTAAGTGGTTTTTCCACGCTCATTAATGAAAGCTCAGCTGGCCTTTTCTGAGAGGCTCCTTAGGATGAGAACACGTTTCCATAAGACAGCGTCTGATTTAGAATACTTCAAAATAACAAGAACTCAGTACTTTCATTTTTCCAAATTAGTTTTTTTTAATACAGTTACTCACTATTGTCACATTTTCCCTAGACTACTGTATTTTAAAATAGTATAGACTTAATAAAAATCATCAAAGAAACAATGAAGACATATACTTCATAAATAATCCAGTTGTAAATATCATATAGTATAGAAAGCCTAATTAGTGGAAGCAATCCACAGCTATCATCTTTAACTTAAAGTAGAATGGAAACAACTGTTCCAGTTGGCGCCAGGGGACTGGGTCTCTAGAGGAAGAAATGATACAGAAGAAGATCATGTCCCATGGAAATAGCCAGTAGGAGTGTTTTGCTAGTTGGACTCTCTCTGTTTTACCCAGGATCTCACTTTGGCAACTTAACTCTTCCTTTTTTTTTGTTTTTTAGTTTTCCTAAGGATGAAGAGATGCTACGCTAAAAAAAACTGGCTGGTCGGATAATTTCTGAAGAAAGGTATTATAACTACTTCCTAATTTTCCACCCATCACTTTGTTCTGCAAGAAGCTAAACAAAAGGATAAAATGAAGAAAAGAAAACGGACTTCAAGCTCTGGTTTTTGATTACAGCCCACTAGCAAACAGTGAAAATATAACTTCCAATAGTTTTGTTTGGTTCATGAGGTATTTTATTGTTTTAACTGGCTTTTTAATATCTTTATTTTTAAGAAAGAGGAAGGATGGCATAGTTCTCATGAAGAAGGAAAACTTGCAGCATACATGTGTACAAATTCTTTTCCACTTACATTTCCCATAGGCCTAATTCTTTTGCATATGCTGTCATTCATCGGAAACACAGCTCCAGTGGGAAATTTGGACTCAGGTGAATAATAAATCAAATTTTTCAAATATTTATACTTTATATATGTATTCATAGTATTTCTATCAATAGAAAAAGGCTCTACTCCTTTAATAGCTGATATTATGGTTAATATTTTCATTTATTTCTTAGTCAAAATTAATTTGTAAAGGCTATATTAGTGGGTAAAAATTGCAAAAACAAAGCCAAACAAAAAACAAAGCACAGTGGGTTGATTTTACATAGAAGGACCTTTAGGATATATGAACAATGGAATAGTCTATTTCACTGTTTTATTTCAAAGGGTGCCCAGATGATTTGCCTTAGATAATATCATGCCTCCTGTCTGGTACGCTAGAAAAGAATGCCTCTAGTCCTCAAAACGCTGACATTAGGCCACACATTCTCCCTGTGGAGCTGTACAGCCTCTGTGCCATACTCCTGCATGCAAACAGAGTCTTGCATCTGCGTGTACTTAATTCTTACCACCGGGCCCTGGGCTAAGTCAGTGGTTTTCAAAGTGTAGTCTAGGGATCCCTCAGGGTACTCTAGGATTTCCTAGGTAGCTGTTACACTCAATTTTTTTTGTCTATACTACTAATATATTTTTGATTTTCACTGTCATTTGCTTGTCAGTACATAGTCAAGTTTTTCAGAAGTTCTAGGACATGTTAACATAATGGTTAAAAGCAATGGCCTTAGTATGATCTCAGCAGAAAGGGGTGGGGGGAAAGAACTGAGATGTGTTACATCACACTCCTCGACATAGAAGTGGTTATCAGTATCAATCAACATTCAATATCAGATGTGTGGTTTTACACTTCACCTCCACCCCATCCAATTGGGGATTGGACTTTGCGTGAGCAATTTCCCAGCACCCTAATTACTGGGATAGTAGTCTCAACTCACAGAGTAGCTTAAGTGTTGGTATATGGGTACCCATTCCCTAGAATGAAGGTAATCATTATGTACCTCAATATGTGCTAACAAAATTTAAGACATAAGTAGAAATTATGTTACAATGTTTAGTGTGACAAATATCCACAGGAATAACTGAAAGTTTATACATAATCTTTGTGGGGGGATTCTTAATGTTTTTTAGTAGTAAAAGCATTCCTGAGATCAAGAAGATTGATCAACTGCTTCTATATTACCTTAACTCAGCACTTTGTGTGTATTAAAATTACCAACACTTAGGCTACTCTGAGTTAAAACTACCATACCAGTAATTAGGGAGCTAGAAAATCGCTCATGCAAAATCCTACAATTGGATGGGGCAGGGGTGGAGCTTGAAATCACACATCTGACAATGAATGTCAATTGATACTGATAAACACTTCTGTGTTGAGGAGTGTGATGTGTACACTGCTCATTTATTAAGAGCCTACTATGCAGTAGGTACTGTAGTAAGTACTGGAGAGACACTTGTGGAAAAAAAGAAGAAATGTTTCTTTCAGCATCTTTACATACAGTGGAGAGAATATTCTGACAAAAATAATCCAACATTTCTAATGCAAAAATACATTATTAACTTTCATGTGATCTCTCGGACTCTGCTGCTTCAACTTAATTCCTGAGCCTTAGTTCTCCTTTTCTAAATAATGAAAATAATATTTATTAACCCTTACACTAAAAAAACTGGCTTGCACTGATGTTCTCAATTTTCAAAGTATGGAAACAGCATAAATACATTTTGAAAGTTTTCAAAGCTGGAGATATTTAATGAATAAGGGCTGTTCAAATAAATATGAGGCAACTAACTGGTATTTTAATTTAAGTTTAAGCTATTCACTATAACACAAAAATGTGATTTCAAATGTCTCATCACATTGAAAGTTACAAGATTATATCAAGCAACTGGTCTGATTTGAAAATTTCTAGACCATGATCTAAAACTCATATTTAAATACTGAAATATTTACTTAACATAATTTGGTAATGTTTTGGAGGCTACCAAACTCACACACTCTATTTTTCTTACATACTTGATTTAAAATGATAATAATAAATGATAATAGCCCTAGGCTCATCATACCAAGTTACATGCCACCGTTTTTCAGTTGATGGCTTTATGTCTATAATTCAATTTAAAACACATTTCAAACTGAATTCTTCATACTTTATATTATTTGTGTCTAGTAGGGTTATGGATTTATTTAAAAATCTAACAAATATTTCATAATTTAAAGGTAGACTACTGTTACAAATTTAAGCATCAGTTAATGCAAAGGATAATTTTAATAATATATTTACAAGATGTATAAAAACTGTACTGTCAAGTAAAAAAATTCTTTTATAAAGATTGCATAGATTTGATTTGTTCTGAAAACAAATTTAAATGTAAGGGAAAAATTGCATAGTATTTTTCTATTCACTTTGATTCAGATTTTATAAGAGCACCATACTGGCAAGAGATGAACAAATAACTGGTCAGTGAACAGTGCGTAGGTACAGTATGAGCAGGAGAAAGCAGAAGGGTCCTGACCTCAAGGAGATCAAATTGAGCCCCCCCCCCCCCGCCCAGCTGAAGAGCCTACTGCAGTGGTATTCAAAGTGTTTGCATTTTTTTTTAAATATATTTTAGGGAAGATGTCTACAGAGTGTTCAGGGTCTCACTACTAGATTAGATTCATAGTGATCCACCTGTTTACAGCCTCCCAAGAGCTGAGATTACAGGCCCATGCCACCATGTCCAGTCTCAATTGCTGCTTCAGCATGCCCTGGGTGTGGGGCTGGCACAGCAGGCCTGGGGATTGAACAACCAGCCCCTGTGTCTGCCCGCAGGTGCTTTAATCCCCTGAGCTACTTGGCCGGCCCTAAAGTGTCTACATTTTGATAATACACTGGAATATACTTTTCAAGACACTGCTGATTTATTAAATACTGCATATTCATGCATCCTTACTGCAGTCTTATGGTAAATTATAAGACAAAATATAAGGGGACTTAAAAGATATTGGCTATGCCCTGTGACTGGGATAATGATGACGTGGATTTAACTACTGCTTTCATATTTTGTTTACACTTGATGTATTTTTAGTATGCTTAAAATATTTCAAAACAAAAACACAGAAAGACAAATAGAAAAGAATGCAAACTCTCAGACTTTTCTGTGCTCCAGTTTTTGAAATCATAGACAGTGAGCAAACGGTTCACATTATCACAGCTTCTTGGGTATCTTTCTCTTGCCCACCCAGTGTACATTCCAGATTCATCTGAAGATTGTGCAGAGGGGCAGCTTCGATCAACACAATTAGAGTACACTCTCTCTGAGGTCTACAAACGTATCTTGCATCTTCATATAAACTGAGCAAGTCCTGCTTCTGTTCCTAACTTCATTTAAAAATACACATATATACTCAGTTAGTCCATTTATGTTAGAAGACTAACCTAAATCATACTGTTCTAACCCTGCCCAAAATACTCAGATATTTTTACATCATTATTCTAAATGACCTTTATAAAGTACACACAGTTTTTCACATCTATTGGATGTAAAAATTAGAGCATGCAAATCGTTACCCGCAAAACTGAAGAAAAAAAGCCAGAGTTATCAAGAGTAAGAAACCAAACCAAAGGTGGTCATTACCTTCAAACATTTTACCTGCAGCTTCCTCTAGTGTGGCCACATCAAGCCGGGGACTGTAATTCCCATAACCTGCAGCAGTAAAAGCCCGAATCTGGAAAACATACACTGTTCCTGGTTTCAGATTATTAATGGAGGCCGAAGTGGACTTGGTTTTTACTGTTGAGTAGGTCCTTTCCCTTTGATCCTAGAAACAATATTTACAAGGAATATTTAAATATGATAATTTGATATCTAATTCTAGTAACTGATTTTAATTTGCTATCTTGTTTCAAGGGAGGCAGCCTTTACCTTGTGGAATATTGTAAAACTGAGTTATTTCAAAGATAATATAAAATAGATCTGTGACATACATGCCTCTGTCTTATGAATTTCAAAGACAATAATTTTGTTAAAATCATGCTGATATTTTGTACTTTTTCTTCACAGTGAGGGTAGCACAAAGATTTTAGCTATGGTGTTACTAAGCATCCTATGGATCAAAGTGTAGGACTCCTGAAAAACATATGTCTCAGTCGAAGTTTTCATATCATAATGTAGTTTTGAAAGTATTTGTACTGAGTAGAGAAGGAAAAAATTTGCCATGTAGTAGAATTCTAAAGCATAAAATCAAGAAATTCAGTGAAAATCACCACTGCAGTGCCCTATCAATTGCTTTCAAAACAAGTGTATTTCTCATAGAATAAAACTATTATAAAATAGTATTAATTAGAATATTTAAAATTAAAATATCAATTATGAAAGTAGGATATTATGCAATTTATGTTTTTTGTTTCTGTATTTTAGGGAAGGGTCTAAGGGTGCTCAGGGACTCACTACTAGATCAGACTCGGAGTGATCCTCCTGTTTAAAGCCTCCCAAGAGCTGGATTTAAGGCATGCACCACCATCCCCAGTCTCAACTGCCATGTCAGTGTGCCCTGGGGTTGGGGCTGGCATGGCAGGCCTGGGGATCGAATCCCTGGCCCCTGCGCCTGCTTGCAGGCTCTTTAATCCACTCAGCTATTTGGCCAGTTCACAATTTAAGGTTTGACAACATTTTTAATTTAATTTTATCACTTCTCACATCTGAAAACTGAGGCTTGCAGAGTTTCTTGAAATAAGTTATAGCTCACGATTATCATGTTTTTATATATATTTATGTAAGTCCAGAAAAATAAAGTGTAAATATTCAAGCATATAAAATCTTTTAAAAATATTTAAATGGGTAAATTTAAATCTTTACTGATTGGACTCTCACAAGTTATTCATAAGAAAATTTAAATTATCCTTTAAAATATAATTTAGTTTCTTTTTCATATTAATATTCATGTTCAGTTTCATCCAGATATAAAGTTATTCAATGAAATCTGAAAATGTCAATGCAGTTGTTTGATTTACTTCTTCAATACTTATAAAAATGTAAATAAATATATATATATACCTAAACTCAATTTCATAGAACTTGTGATCACCTTCATTATAATAATTTATACAAATGACAACTGGTATACAATATCTATCTCAAAATGAATGAGGCAGGAGTGACATAACAATGATGTGCTCATCTCACGCTTCCATGCGTTTCGGTATATTGTAACACTAGCTCTATCATTTAATGTTGTCTATCGTGTACAAGTTACTAAATACAGACCCAGTTTCTGTTATGCGTAATAGAAACTGACTACTTGAGCACATTTGAATGGTAAGATTTGTAGCCTTTTACACTTCTAAGAAAATTTATTCTTGCCACTGGTATTTTCAGACAGGTGCTTTATTGCGTATTGTAGCAAAGCACGATGGCTTGGGTGCCTGTAGTCCAATACTTTGGGAGGCTGAGGCAGGAGGATCAAAAGTCCAAGCCAGTTTGGGCAGCTTAGTGACTTAGCAAGATTCTATTTCAAAAGAAAGAAAGAAAGAAAGAAAAAAGTAAGGCCAAGATGTATCTTACTGCAAAGGTCATGAGCTCAATCATGATGAAATTATTGTCTTTGAAATGTGAGATAGTTTCTGAAAAGATGTTAACAGCAGAAAACCAAAAACATATCGAAACTAATTGTCTCCTATAACACATTTGATGGGACCAAAAATATGTTTCCCAGCATGAAAATGAGCTGTAGAGAATACAACTGTGGCCACAATGGCCTAAATACATAATGTAAGTAATAAGAAAAATATTTTAAAGTTAATGTGAACATTAAAACTAACCTAATTTTAAACTGTTTTATCTTCAAAGAAAAAATGTCCTTATTACCAATGCATTGTATATATTTCAATTGATTCACCCAAGTAACCCAGATTTTCAAAGCTTTAGGTTCTTATTTTGCAATACCGTCTGAACAGTTCCAGTGCTTGTGTACATTACAGCACTTCAGCTCGCTTGCTTATGTCAATACTCATAATATTTATTATTAGTGTAACAGTTTCCGTGTTTTAAACCATGAACCAAGTCCTTCTGAGCAGTGTGCAGTGATTTATGAGTAAGCCATGCAAATATATTCACCAATTTCCACACGAGAAAGAAAAATAAAATACACTTAGATGCAATTATTAGCTAAGATTTATTCACTATAAGGCAATTGCAGGAGGAGCACTTTGATATTGGCCATCCTAGTTTTCCTGTTGGGAGGGGTTTCACATTATGTTGATATAACATACTTGCATAATGAAACAAATTTCAGAAGGAATTTAAAGGCATGAAGCAACATCCTCTGATTCTTAAGTCTAGAGAAAACTATTACTTTTTTGCACAAAATACTTGACTCTTCTTGATTACTAAATTATTTAAGAGTGTCATCATTACTATTGAATCCACATAAATTAAATGAGTCATTAAGGGCCCAGATATGCTGAAAGAAACACTCTGCAAAATGTACTGGGCTGTGTGGTTTCTGCAGTACATCATATGCTGGTTAAGCTACCAAACACTGAACAAACAAATATGCTGCAAACCCAAAGGTTTTATCTTTACAACATGTAAACTCAACGCACAGAAATCATGACCATAATGATGAAGCAGAGATTCAGGGAGATGGTTATTTGAAAATGGCTAAAATTAATCATGAATTTTGGAGCAGTTCCGAATAGCTGGTGTCCTGACCAGCGTTAGCAAACAGTCCTAAGGGACGGCAGGAGACGCAGCGCACTAGCGTGCATCTCAGCAGCAGTTAGCACTTACTTTCTCGTAATACTTGATTTCGTACTCGGTGATGACCCCATTGGGATGCTCGGGCTCCTGCCAGGACAGCTCCACGCTCCTCTGCAGCACTCTCTCCTTCATTACTCCGCTCACTTGCGAGGGAGCTGTTGGGACAAGAGGTGTCAATAAACAATGAGAAAAAGCACTGGGTGCCTCAAATCAAATGTCACAACTGATCAGTCCCATGCTGGGCCAGTTTCATTAAGGTAAAAGAAAGCACCTTTTCAGAGCTCACAATTCAGAAGCTAATGAATATTCAAACAGGACCTTATTACTGTTCATAAACCTTAATAGGAATTTAAATTAAAGTGCAAACAGCAGAAGATAGCATTGTTCAAGTTAGTGCAAAATGGAAACGATGGGGCTGCGAATGACAATTAAGCGAATGAATGCTAATTAAGGCTAGAAAATATGATTTTAGATTAATCTCCAGTGATAAACTAAGTCCCAGTATTTATTTCACATGAAACAGCAATATTCTTTTCAGAAGAAAAAACAAAACCATACTATACCAGGAAAGGTATCTCATAGGCCATTTAAGGTGGCCCACTTAAGGGGACCACATTTCATAAAAATATTGTTATGTTTCATTGTTGTGTTTATATATGTGTTCTCAGAGAGCATCAGCCAGCCTTGGAAAAAAAAATAACACTTTTTAAAAGTAAGTCAAGAGGCAAAAAAGTGAAAGTTGCTCCAATTTAAATATGTGTATGAACACACACAAATGTAGGTGTAGATGCTCACATATGTAATTTACACCCGTGTTTCCCAGGTTTCGGGCTGCAGTACAAGCAATTAAGAGCTACAATTTCTCTTTCTATACAGATAATAATATGCTTAGAGTTCTTTCATTCTAATTAGTGGCATATCCTCTTTTTGGTAGCTCAGGCTGTGGAATGTAGCAAACTAATTTGCTCTGTCTAATTTGCTCAGCGATGATTAACTAGTTGTCTTCTCTGTCTACATGAGTAGCTGCACTGGCTTGGCTGAATTTCAGGGGGTCATTACGTTTCGTGTATCATGCTCTATCTCATTCTGTAAAATATTTTCAGGCTGTTAATTTAATTTTCAGATGTCTGAAATTGTTAATAATCCCGCTGACAGCAAGGCAATTATACGGGGCCAAAGCTATTTAAGCAAACTTCTGATGTTTATCCCTTTGGCTTTATTTAATTTTTTTTTCTGCTTCTTAATATTTTCTTGCATCAGTGTCTAGAGACCACATTTTTTACTTCATTCATGCTTGGCAGTTCTGCAGTGGGGACAGAGGACACTCAAAACTCCCATTTTCTCCTGATTACTAATGAAGAATAACTAGGCAGATTAAATGGGACAAGTTTCACTTGAAGAGGATGCAGTTGAAAACTCAATACACAGAGTCTACAGACTAACTGCATTTCTGTGATGTTTTCAACGTGGCAAATTTCTAATAAGCAGACCTACTTGTGCCATAGCTTTGGCGTCCTGATGACACGCAATGAAGAACTTTAACCTGCACATACTCAGATTAGAGCCTGTGATGAGCACACTGTCCCTCGGTCCATAGTCCTGGGATGAGCCCACTGTCCCTCGGTCCATAGTCCTG